GAGGGCTTGCCCTGTGTTGATTGGCCAACTGGTTGTTATGGCCCATAGGGCCTCCCAGGGTGGTTGCTATGCTCTCTACGTCATTGCTGTGCGCTTGTCCGTAAAGCACACCCAGAGTCATAAAGCATAGCGCCACCAGCTAACTTCTGATTGGTTCCTTGTCACGAGGCAGGCATCTGACTTTCTAGTGTCTAGGACAAGGTCAGACAAGCAAGTGTTCGGCCATTATGGCTGCCAAAAGGGAAGCTGGTCCCTTCACCAGGCTGCCCCTCTTGGTCAGTGGCTTCTCTCTTGCTCTCCTTGCCCCCCTCTCCTCACATGGCCCAGTTCAGTCTGGTCATGTTCACTCTGGACCTTCCCCAGACGCTTTGTCTATGCCTCTGGCTGTATTCTCCCTTCTACCTATAATAAACCTCTTCCACCATATTTAGGAGCATCATGCCCTCCTATTTCTTTTTTTCCGTTCAGAAATGACTCCTGGAATGGTAAGGATGAGTCTCACACAGATGAGGTCACCCCAGGAATGGTGAGGGTGGCTCTCACGTGGATGAGGTTACCGGAGGAATGGTAAGGACACATCACGAATAGCTGAGGTCACCCTAGGAGTGGTGAGGACGGTTCACACCTAGATGAACTCGACCCAGGGAATGGTGAGGGTGAGTCCCACCATCAGAAGCAGTTTAGAGCATTAGCTGAAAATCCCTGACATGGAGATCAGAGAAAACGGAAAAGGTTAAATACAGAAAAGACCTTCAAAGGTCACCTCCCTCCTTGCATGGGAGAGGAAGCCAAGATCCCAGAAGGCTGGGTATCTCTCACTGAGAGCATTTACAGAGAAACCCAGCCCAAGACTGCAGGCGCCTTCTACTGCAGTAACAGAAATGGGAAGGGAAAAAAAAATCCCACTGAGTGAGTCAGGCGAGTGGGGACACGGTCTCCCTTCCCCCTCCCATGGCGGTGGCAGGCAGCCAACTGGAGCTTGCTGCATATTTAATTTAAACCTTTGTCTGCCCTGGCAAGGACAAAGAACAATCTGTTTTATGTAAAAAGTCTTCCCCGAGGAAAGCCTCAGCCTCCAGCTGCGAAACTGATTGATGTTCTTAAAACCCTAGGAGCCTCTGCTGGGATCCGAGGTTGCAGTTTCCAAAAAAAGAGCTTGAAAAAAAGGAAAGCACTCCAAACAAACAAACAACAACAACAAAAATGTTCTCCCTTTTGTTGGGTTACTCCCAATATGGGAGAATTAGCCTGAAACTAGGGGGAGAAGCATACAAATAAAGCCTGTATCTTACCAGCGGATTTCAGAGCCCCAGCTGGGAGGAGCTGGGAAGGCAAGCTGCTGGGGAGACTGGAGACTTGTCTAGGAGCTTTGTCTAGAAGCACCCTCTGTGTGACACAGCCTTTTCTTAGATGGCCTGATCCGATGGATGGAGATACCAAAATATCCTAAAGATACTGTAAAGCGAAAGCATTCATGTCAAGGAGTGCCACCGTTGGAAGCCTTCACAAAATGTTTGACGGAGTTTTTTTTTTTAAAAAAATCGTCTTATTTTGAGAGTTCTGTGGGGTTCCCGGTAGCCTGTTTTCAGAGATCCTAATTTGGGGAGGGACACATGTCTTGCAAGACCAAGGTTTGTAATGTTGCAACCCAGTTTGGGGTCACCTCCAAGTGTTCCTGGACCTTCTGGACTTGATGCCCTCGTGACCTTGGTATCAGCTGGAGCCCAGTGCCCAAAGGTTAACACCACATGTGAGGAGACCCAAAGGGGGCAGAACCACTCCACTGTTTCAGGTCTAACTCTGCTCCCTCCCACTATCCTCGGCCCCATGTTGGATCGGAAGAAGAGTTGGGTTAAGGGGCAAGGGCCTGCCTTCCCCTTCTGGCTCAGGAGCCAAACTTCATCTTGGAGTCAGAACAAAGCCATGGCCGGATCAGGCTGAGGAGTTCGAGCCTGTTTTGGGACGGAGCCAGGACCCAGAAACCATCGCCATGAGCCACCAGCTGGCTTTGGTCCCAGGAACATGTACAGCTGCTGCACACGCCAGACTAGGCCTGCATACTGTCACCGTGCCAGCCCCTCCATTAGGCCTCCCGGTCTCTGCTCTCACCAGGCTCACACCCAACGCCCTGTGTACTTTGGCACCTTCCTGCCTTGAGGTGTGTCCTGAGATGACTGAGGAGACTTCAGAACCAGCGAGTGACCTACCTCCTCTTATCTTTCTGGGCATTACACCGTTGTTCTCTTAACTCCTTGTCGAGGTCAGGGTAGATGGCTCCAGCCCCCTCTGAAGTTCATTGCTCTGATGCAAATGAGAACTGAATCATTTCCCTTAACTCTGTGTGGTCTAATTTAAGTGCCTGTCATTAGTACTTCTAAGGAGAACACAGGCGCCCTAGCCCTGGAAACAGAAATCCCTCTCCATATGCCCTAATGGTGGGGGCAAAAAAAAAAAAAAAAAAAAAAAAAAAAAAAAAGGCCTGAATGGCCACATTCACAGCTGTCTCCAGAAGTGTTTCCTGGTTTCTTGGGCATTAAGCTTCAGTAATAAAGTTAACAACAGTACAATCGTACTGTGAGGAAAGGTCAAAGAAGGGGAAATCGGTTTTGAAAAAGATCCTACCGTTCCTTTTACACACAGGAGATTATCTCTGCATGCACAGTGTTTTCTCGGGGTAAATGTTCCCACTGACCCACAGTTATACGATCTCAAAGATCTGGCTTTTACACCAATAGTATTTTCTCCCAAGCTTATGAGTCCCTCTTCCCCTTGAGTATCAGCCCCCAGCAATCTGACACACTATAACCTTTTTTTTTTTTTTTTTTTTTTTTTTTTTTTTTCTGGTACGCATGCCTCTGTGTGGTGGTGGTGGTGGTGGTGGAGGGGTGCTGAGCACACACACACATGCCTGTATGTACATGAAGGTGCCAGCTGAGGCCGAAGGGTGCTGGATTTCTTGCAGACGGAGCTGCAGGCAGTGGTGAGCCACCTGACGTGGGTGCTGGGAAATGAACTCTGGTCCTCAACAAGAATTCTTAACCCCTGAGCCATCGAGCCATCTCCCCCAAGGCTGCCTTTAGAATCACTTATCATCAGGCAAAGGTCCACAGGCATTCAGTATGTCTTGATCTTAAGCATACTCCCTGATATAGAATAAAGGGCAGGCTACCACAATGGAGCCAGTGGGATAAATAGTCCCCTGGAGGGAAGCCTAGTAGGGCTGAAGCTCTAAGGACCAGAAAGACAAGGTCTCTCTATGGTCAGGCAACTGGCACTGTAGGGGAGACTAGTGGCTATGTTGCTTAACAAGGTGATAAGCACTTGCTAGCAGTGTGAACCAAGTGCTGTGGGAACCCAAAGGAAGTGATAATTAATTAAGATGGGTATGTGGATTAAAGATCTGGGAATGGTTCCCAGAGAAAGTAACAGTTGAGTTGAAATGTAAAAGCGTAGCAGGAGCCGGCAGTGGTGACTCACACCTTTAATTCCCAGAACTGGGGAGGCAGAGGCAGGTGGATCTCTTGAGTTTGAGGCCAGGCTGGTTCACATAGCGAGTTTCAGGACAGCCAGGGCTACATAGAGAAACTCCACCTTGGAAAAACAAACAAACTGATGAACTGGCTAGCTTTGATCAAGGAAGAAATTAAGTGGGCAGTGGCCGGCAAGATGCATTCAGGAAGAGGCAGGATGCAAAAGCCTTCCAGATAGTGAAATGTGACGGTACATGGCATGTTCCGAGCACAGCAGGTCCTCTGGAATAGCTGGGGTGCAGGAAATAACAGAGGGGTGATTTTGTTTTGTTTTGGTTTGGTTTGGTTTTGGTTTTGAGACCAGGTTTGTCTGTGTAACAGCCATGGCTGTCCTGGAACTCACTCTGTAGACCAGGCTGACCTCGAACTCACAGAGATCAGCCTGCCTCTGCCCACCCCCCACCCCACCCCCAGTACTGGGATTAAAGGCATGCACTATTTAATAGGCTAGATAGTGACTGTCCTGGAGAACAAACTCTCTGGACCTCGTCCTAGAGGCAATAGTGAACTACATGGAGAATCTTAAGCAATGGACTAGGTCAAGGGATTTAAGTTAGCATGTGTGACAAACAAGACTGTCCACAAAGGACTCTGGAGGTCACTTGGCTGCATGAGCAAGCCAAGTGGAACAAAGGCTTTCCCTTCTTCCAGTGGGAGGAGCTGCCCTAAAGGGAGTCTCCTACAGGACTACCAGGTTTTTCCCATCCCAATCAGATAAGCCACAATTCTCCCCAAGCCTCAACATTCAAATCTTGAGAGCTGAAAAGCCTGCTTTCCCAGACAACCCCTGAAAAACAATTAACACCCAGCTCACAGTCTCCCTGGTACCCTAATGCCCTGTCCCCAGTGGTAATAAACTGTTCCTCACATTCTTTCCGGAGGGAAAGTGATAGATGGCAGAAACCTACCCCTGGAACACAACATCCCATGTTCTAGTAGATGCCTTGGATTAATAAACAAGCTAGACTGTGAAGATTTCTCTTTCTTGAGACATTTGTTTTCTAAATTTCTCTAATAAAGCCTACTTTTAAATCTACCCTCCTAGGATGTTAGAAAATACTTCCTGACTCTGCTACTTTAAAAACATACTGTGTTTTATTTCATGTGCATGCATGTTTTGCTTTCATTGTATGTCTGTGCACCACATATGTGTCTGGTGCTCTCAGAGGATGGAAGAGGGCAATGAAGTCACAGGGAGTTGTGAGCTGCCATGTGGGTCCATGTAGGTCTCCAGCCCTCCCCTTGGTGCTTTTTGACCAAGGTGACCTGTGAAGACACATCCTCTGATTGAACCAAACTAGAATGGCCTGGGAATGGAACAAGGCATTCCCACTTGTTGTAAGGGTCTAGAGACTTGGCTCACCAGTTATGAACAGCATTGCCTACTTAGAAGGCCCTGGGCTTCATCCCCAGACAGGCCAAGGAACACCTCCCAATGTTATTAATACCCCATTTTTCTCTCTCTGTCCATCATATCTAGGACCACCTTTATTGGAAAGTTGATTCTTCTGGTTTTAGGAAAACTGCCAGTTAAAATCAAGCCTCTAACATTCAGATCTAATGAAATCAGAGAGGACTTCTAAATCAGTCGTCCAAGCCAGTATCATGAAATTCACCTGAACTGGATAAGTTCCGTTCATATATCTATACTCACCTGTCCCTACATTCATTCAACACATTCCAAATACATACTGTATTGGCCAGTTTTTCAGGATCCTGAAAAACCATTGAATAACTAATTGACTGAAAACTGTGATAGTTAGTACCTATCACCAGAGGCAGTAGTATAACTCATACAGGCTGAACATCCAAAAGCAGCTTACCCAGCCTCCGTACTGAAGGTAGGCTTTACGGACCAGCATTATAGGCATGGTCCAGTATCTTACAGACACAGACCTCTGGCAGCATCTCCATCCTACTGAGTCAGAACCTGCATCTTTACATCTTTGACAGACGAGCCCTGGAAACATTGAACTTGGAGGAGCATTCCAACCAGGTGGGCACAGTAGCATATGCCTGAGACCTCAGCCTTTGGGAAGTGGAGGTAGGAGGGTCAGAAGTTCAAGGTCATCTTCAGCTGCACAGTGAGTTTAAGACCAGCCTGGGATACCTCAGACACTGGTTATCCAACAAACGTTTGAGTATTCCTCTGAGAAATAGATAATAAACAGCACTGTGACTAGGAATATAAGAGAAAGCTGGAGAATAAACCAAATAGATTGACAGGCTGTGACAGATTGCTTCTCACCTAACTTGAGAGAACCACCAGCCACAGGCAGCCAATGAATGGATCTTTCTTTTCTCCCAATCTTATTTTATTTTTAATTAGGCATGTGCATATGTACACATAGTTTTGGGTACCTGAGGAGGCCACAAGAAGGGCAACAGATCTCCTGAAGCTGGAGTTAAAGGATGTTGTGAGCCATCTGATACGGATGTTGACAACTGAGCTGAAAAAGCCATATGTACTGTTAACTGCTGAGCCATCTCTTCCGGCCCCTTATTAAGATCTTTCTTAATAAACTGATTTCTCTATTTGTTTATTTGGTTAGTTGATTGCATTTTGTTGTCGTTGTTGTTGTTGTTTTAGGTTTTTGAGACAGGATCTCTCTACATAGCCCTGGCTATCCTGGGACTCACTGTGTAGACCAGGCTGCCCTGGAACTCACAGAGAACTGCTTTCCTATTTCAGCCTTCTTAGTTCTGGGATTAAAGGTGTGTACCATCATGCCAGGGCTTCTCTCTCTCTCTCTCTCTCTCTCTCTCTCTCTCTCTCTCTTTCTCAAGATTTATTTGACTTTTAGTTGTGTGTGTATATAGACTATGTACACTTGTGTGCAAGAGCCTGTGGAGACCAAAGGAGTTGGATTTCCTGCAGCTGGACAGTTAGTTGTAAACTGCCTGAGGTAGGAGCTGGGAACTGAACTTGGGTCCTCTGGAAGAGTAGCAAGTAATTTTTTTAAAAAGATTGATTATATATACAGTGTTCTGTATGGCTACAGGCCAGAAGAGGGCACCAAATCTCATTACAGGTGGTTGTGAGCCACCATGCGGGTGCTGGGAATTGAACTCAGGCCCTCTGGAAGACCAGCCAGTGCTCTTAACCACTGAGCCATTTCTCCAGCCCCAAGTAGCAAACATTCTTAACTGCTGAGTCATCCTTTTCTCCAGCACCAAGTGGATTGTTCTTAGTGAATGAGCATTTTCCTGGGGACCAGAAGCTCGAACCAACAGACAAGCAAGTTGGTTGGTGTCTTGGAAGAATCAGAAGTACCTCATTTGAGAGCATCCAAGTGCTCAGAGCCTAGTTATCTGGAAGTTGCTTTGGTTCAGCCACCCCATGTCCTCTTTTCAGCTCAAGTTAGATCAAAGGGACTTCTGCTGTTCATCATCAAAGCCACCTTAACTTACACAACTCTGCCCTTCCCAGGATACGTATCTGCTAAGAATAACTGTGTTTGGTCTGCCTTGGGAGACACATATGCTTTTCCCTGAGCTCCTATATTCAACTCTGACAGCAGGCACACAGGGAACTTCACTCTGGTCTGGCACAGCATAACAAAGTGTTTGTACCATATTCTTACATGTCGTTACGTATTTTGAAAATGCTGATGTTTTGCTGACAAATATTCTGGTTTGGGTTCATTTTCTGTATATGAATTACTGTATCTTTAAAAACATTTTTTGGATGGGCAGTGGTGGCACACGCCTTAATCCCAGTACTCCGGAGGTAGAGGCAGGCAGATCTCTGTGAGTTCAAGGCCAGCCTGGTCTACAAAGCTAGTTCCAGGACAGCCAGGGTTACACAGAGAAACTCTGTCTCGAGAAAAAAAA